CCTGAATAAAGTTAAAACACTTTATAAATTTCATGCATCAGAAGCGCTTTTCTAGATTTTATTTGCCACTGAAACAGCCACTCATCACAATCAGCAATTATTCTAAATCTAAAACTGCAAGTCATTAAGACAATTACTCTAATTTCGTACCAAATAGTTTAGTATATACTGTTATGATGTTGTAATTATTATATTTATTTATCTTGGCCTAATTTGTTTTGTGTGGCTTTATAGTTATTTATCAAATAATGTTATAACTGTGCAGTTTAGAAATCACTGGAACAATCATAGATACTGATGGAATGATTAGAAAAACTTTCTTTTTGACTTACATAATGATTCCAGAATGATCATAATCTACGATGTGTAATTTAAACTTTTACCGTATTCTAGAAGTTTCCGTTCTATAGTTTTCTAGGAGTTTCCGTTCAACAGTGTTCTAGAGGTTTCCGTGACAGCTATATATACCGCAACCGAAATTGGACAGATCAGACATTAATATACTTCGATTCTCAAAAGATCTCTGGAGTTGTTGAATTGACATTTTTATTTACGTTAACTACATCACACTAGATTGAGAACTTATTGGAAATATTCCGTTATAGCTAAAGGAAGAATTCTGGATAAAGAAAATCAAAGGATCGGACTTATATTTAACAGTTAAGTTTACATTTTTATTTGTATAATATTTCTTGTAAAATTATAAAATAAATTTTGTTAAATTTTATTATTGATTTGTGTCTTTTGTTGGCTACAATTTAAAGGTGATTTCTGGCCGTAACAATACATGAAGTTAATGACACTAGATATTTTACGGAGTAGATACGCATGAAAGAATAACATTTCGTAGCAAATACCAATGATTTGGATTATACGTTAGTCAAAGAAACCGTTGTCGATCTTCAAGAAAATCATCTCGAATAGCTTTCAATTATGACTCTTCTAGTGGGGCTTGCAGGCCGTTGTATGTGGCATTCTGGCTGTTATTAATTTTCTATTGTATAGTGAACTTTGTTGTAATTAGTTCGATATCTGATTACTGAATTCAAAGATCAAACTCTTTTATATTCTAGAAGATTAAAAATCAAATACGAAACGAGAGATGGCAGAAAGAAAATAATCACAGTGATTGAAAAATGAAACACAGGAAGTTCTCTGGCAAAATCAGCGTTAAATCAGGTGCTGGTTGGTCTAAGTTCCTTTACTTTTATTGATGACGAACGTTAAACTTTATCTAAGCATTATCTTATTTTTGTATGGCTTCCTTCGTAACAAGGATTCACAGCATGTAATGATATAACATCGGATCAGTTTATAAAAGAAAAACATATTTCGTAAAAAGCTATAGAATTTATTCCCGCATTGTTTGAACAATAAAATAATCTAATTAGACAACGAATTGATTGATATAGACAGAAAAGAACACGGTACTTTTTATATATACACGAAAACACAACAATTTCCTTGTTTCGATGATAAGACAAGATAGTTAACACAGTTTTCGCGGTTGTGACGTTTTCCTTTCTAAAGAAGCCTTCACAATTGATTAGCATAACCGGTAGTATTTACAGTCTAAATGACAGACAGTTCAATGTGAAAATGATAGGGCTTTCACTGAAGTTGACGATCATACATAGCGTAAACAATACATTTTATAAAGTTACCATTACCGACAAGTTACATATTAAATTGTCATTTTCCGTCAATATATTAATTGACCTGCTGACAAAAAAAGCAAATATCCCAACCAAATCACTAGTTTACTAGTACCTACATGTATCACGATGAACTCTATGATGATTATTTATTTATGGCGTCTTATTTTAAGTAAATATACTTGCCGTGTTCAACAATTTGATAACTATAAAATAAGGAGATTGGGAATAATTGACAATGAGACAACTATCCACCATATACCAAATGACGTAGACGATTACGGAGCCCCTTAAGTCCCATGTAAATATATATATTTTCTTTTGCCGAAGATTTAATCTAGTGCGCACGACATTTTAAAACTGTTGCGCATGAATTACTAAATGGTGCGCACGACTTTCAAACTCGTGCACACCATTTTCAAAAGTCATGCGCATTAATTTGAAAGTCGTGATCTTCATTTTTGAAAGTCGTGCGCAACAGTTTGAAACTCGTGCGCGCGATTTTTCAATCTGGTGCCTGCACCTAATTTTTATTCAATATTTTTATTTACATGCCCCTTAAAGGGCTCCATAGATGATAGCAACTATACGTCACTCTTTGTCTATACATGTATTTTTATTTATGATTGTTTTTATATTTTAGTTTTTTAAATTAGTTGTAAAAGCAGCAATATACATATACAATATAGCACGGATGGTCAAACACAATTAACCACTTACATGAAATGAACAAAAACAACCGAGTAAAAGCAAACGAGCAGAAAATCGAAGTTATACATTTACATGAGACGTATACTAACAGCCAACACACCTTCAACCAAAAAATTGAGCAAGAAGAACTCCCATCAAAGGCGGGAGTACGAATTATATAAAATACATATCTGCCCATAAAGGGCAAGCATACTGATTACAAATAGAAATAAGTAAAGAAACAATAATGATGATATGGATTTACCTAAAGCAGTTGTTTTCTTATTGTAAAACATTTATAACAAATCAAAGCCACATTGTTGCATATTTCTTCATGTTCACAAGAAAGAGGACAATAAGGAGTGATAGCAGGTGTATATGACACTCGTGTCGTCTTTTAAGTAATCAAAGCAAGTATTTTTGCATATCAGAAACAGGACAGAGATGTATGAGAACTTGAATACGCAAAGAGCTAATGACCAAAAGGGATATGTAAAAATATCATGAATTCAATTAAGCTTAGTAGTGCAAAATGTTTAAAAAGTCACTGTTGTAGTTTATTTGTATGTAGTGACGAGAATTATTTATACAGAAGTAATGAAATTATCAACCTGTAATTTAGGCCAACCGGTTGATTTGATTGAAAGAATTGAAAGCTTGAGTCGTTACTGTAGTTCATGGTCTACAAATTACCATTGTAAGTCATGTTCCTTCATTCTTTTTCGGCTTCGGTCATACATTTTGTCCATTTTGGTTTATTAGCTCTTTTTTTATAATAAATTTAGAATTTCAAATATTTTGGCCTCAAGCATCAATGAAGAGACATTATGCGCATCTGGTGCAGAAAAATTGGTACCGTTAATGTTATTTGACTTCAATGAATCAGCTATTCTTAGGAAATCCCATCTTATATTTCTGTTTTATTAATTTGGACAAAAGTTTGAGAACAAGGAAAAGAGAAAAAAAATATTATGAGTTCAGAAATTCTTGCTAATTACAGAAATGTTGAGAAAGGACATTTACATGTTTAATACGATTGAAATCTAAATAAACAGTTCTAACGCTGAAAAAAGAAATATGTTTACTTTTGTTAAAAAAAAATTGTTACAGGAGAAAATATGTTAAAGATATAATTTAAGGTAATTGCAGCAATAAGAAGTTAATATGCTTACAAAATCGGGAAAAGCTTATAGTATGACAAAGAAAAATTAATAAATCGGAAAGAAATTCTGTTTCGGTATACAGGAGAGGCGAAAGTTACCAAAGGATATTCAAAGTCGAAAACAAACTGACAATTCCATGTAAAAAAAAAGGAAAACGTCGAAAAGAAAAACAACAATACACAAAACACAACATAGAAAACTGGAGAGTGAGCAACACGAACTCCACCAAAAACCGGGGGTAATCTCAGGTACTCTGGAAGGGAAGCAGATCCTTCTTCAGATGTGACAACCGTCGTGGTGCTCATGTAAGTACATCCCGGTGATAAGTCTAATTCGGTAGATCACATTCGAGGTTAAGAGGACGAGATTGTGGTTATAAAAATTGGAACATATCCGTCGTCATTTGTGAAACAGATACTCCATAACAGTCAACCAACTCGTAATGGCGTCCGTATAACTTTGGAATGGATGATTTCAATTTCACCACTTGAAAATCTTGGTTTGATAGCTTCCTTGTAAGCAGCAACCCTCTATCAAGGAAATCATGATAGGAAACGCAAGTTCTGGAATATCGTATCAACTTGGGGATATATACTCCATATGCAGGTGATGCTGGAATGTTGCTACATAGAAATGGAAATTTCACATTTGGGAAGCTGAAAACATCTCTTTTGTTGTGAAGTTTTTCCAACGATGTTATAAAAAAATATTGATATGTGGTAAGATTCGATAACTATAAATTAAAGACTAAAATACAAACATATAAATAAGTAAACAAGTACAGGTCACTGACGGCCTTTAACAATGAGCCAAAATCGGCAATACTATATACTAAGCTATAACAGTCCCCGGGATAACAAAATGTGACTTGTCAGATCTGTACTGAGCAGAAAATCAACAAGGCAAAAGACAAAAGCTTTGCATTTTGTTAAATGAACAAGACTAACAAAAAGCAACATCAACTAGATTTTAAAAAATGATACAGTTATAACAGGAATACCTTCTTTTAGGAGTTGGAAAAAAAATTATAAATCTTCGAACGTCTCTATTAGATTTATTCCGTACTTTTCTATCCTGACAATATATAGACACTTGTCCGTATATTGACCTCTCAGTGTATTTTAGGAATTATTCGTAGTCATTTAAATATACTCCACATCTATTCATCATAATAATTTGCAGCAGCTTATTGTTATGGACTTTCTTAAAAAACTAAAGATCATTTGCACAATCTATTCCCCTAGACAAACAATTGAAATTTTCAAATTTGTACATACATGTACACGGTAGGCCTTTCACATATTGCTCTATAATAAAGACCTTTAAGAAATCATAGAAATGTCATCCGTTAAAAATCGAGTCATCGATCTCATCATTTATTTATTTTATTTAAGCCAATCAAGAAATTACTAGTAACAGTGGGATGTCACTATACATCAAACTCAAACTTAAATTCTTCAATAAAACGAAAAATGATCTGATATCTCTCTCTTAAATATTTTGCGATGTAATATGGTCACTGTAGTTCAGAATAGCATTCGCCAAACATGGTAGTTTACTGTTTTAAGAACTTCTGGAATGAACTTTGTAACTTGTTTACTTTACTTTGGATTATTTCAGAATTTGACTTGATTTACACTTCTGGTAAGTATCAATTAAAAACAAAATAATAAAATTACTCAAAAAAAGATAAGGACATTATGATGTCATTATGATATACATTCTTTCTTACATAGCTATGGAAAAATACTATTTCAGGAATTGAAGATATCTTTATCTACCAATCTACCAATGCAAACACTTTGTGAAATATTTTATTGTCAAACATCCATCAATATTGACAGTATTTTTATCATCGATATCTCTTGCTATATTTTCATATGATGGGACGGCTTTTTATTTTATTTTCATTTCTTTATTTATTTTAAGGCCAACGCTTCCGTTTATCTACAGTATGTTCGAACTAAGAATCACAATCAGACTTCGAAACTTTTAATCGTTCGTCAGTTCAAACTTTGTGTACAGAATGGATTTTAGTGAAACTTTCACAGACTCTTCTAAAAGTTTCAAATTATAAAAATGTTCACCTTGTATTTTATGTGTTTTATGTGTTGATTGTCGTATCTTCAAATGAGTTAGACATCTTGAATCTGCAATTCCTATTTAAACAATAGCCCTTTTCAACGAAAGCTTCGTTTTGACATTTTGTCATTTGTACATTTCCTATTCTAATTTTTCAATCCAAATGGAGTTAGGAGGTTTAACGCAGCGAAGTGTTTGCTCATGTCATAATTTATCTAGTTAGGATGGTGTATTTATTGTAAAAGACAATATGTACGCAATAATAAAACATGTTTTATTACACATGATCATGGGTAGTATACGATTTTAAAAAATAGACTGATTTCTATACAATATGGCATGCTCTAAATCACCCTATTATAACAAGAAGTCGGAGTCTATCAAGGCACATAAGTACCAAAGTTCCTGAATAAAAACATTGATTAATATAAAATAAATTAAATCATTGACGAGGTTCATGACTAGGTACAGACACAAAAGCGTGTTGCTGGGTGAAACTAGTTTTAGCTCACCTGGCCGAGTTTGAGCTATAACTATTACTTAGCGTCCGGCGTCTGTCGTCGTCCGTCGTCCGTTAACTTTTTAAAAAAAGTTTCAAAACTAGTGGGCCAAACCAAATACAACCAAACTTGGTCACAATCATCGAATTTAAAAATGTGTCCGGTAATACAGCCTGCCAACCAACATTGCCACCAATACAAGGCTAAAAATAGAAAACAGGGGTAAAATGCAACTCTATTATCTTGTTAACAGTTGTAGATAGAAAATAGGGCAAAATGTGAAAACTAATGATTTCTACCTCCTGTTTTTTCAACAAAACTAACAGAAGACTCCTTATAGAAGTAATTGCCCTTAGATGAGCATTTTGACATTTTTTTGTTTGTTTTGTTTTTGTTTTTGTTTTTGCCTTTTACCTTGAAAACTATTATAGATATATAGAAACTTTATATTGTAAAACAATTAAGCAATTTAAAGTTTCTCCATATCTATTAAAGTTTGAAAAATGATTAACAAGAGTTATTTTATTAATAAGTGGCCAAATCATTAGTCAACTCCTTATAGGGGATGGTTGCCCTTTAATTAGATGTTCATACATTTGTCATTTTGAACAAAAACTAGAGCAGCTTAAGAGAAACTTCAAACAACAAAATTAAATCAGCAAGACAAAATCTATAAATGAGTTTGTGAAATAATTTATTGTCAAACATCCATCAATATCGACAGTATTTTTATCATCGATATCTATTGCTATATTTTCATAATGGGGCGGCTTTTGATTTTATTAGAGCAGCTTAAGAGAAACTTCAAACAACAAAATTAATCAGCAAGACAAAATCCCACAGCTGAAACTACAGTCCAGTCATTATAAGAGTTATTGCCCTTAAATGATGAAATTTTGTTTTCATTTCTTGCTTTTGGGGCAAAATTTATTGTGGAGAAAAACTTAAAATGACAAAAACGATCAGCAAAAAAGAAAATTTTATTCATGAACTATATTCTAGTCTATAATGTTGGAGAGTGACCATTATGTATGCCCTTATATTTTACAGATATGGGTTTTTTTGCTTGTGAGAGAGCTGTCTACTATTAGTTTTTTATCATTACATTTTTTCTATTTCTTTAAATTCAAGTTTAGTTATCTTATTTGCCCCCTTCGGTGTTCATGTCGGGGCCTTTTATAGCCGACTATACGGTATGGGTTTTTCTCATTGTTGAAGGCCGTACGGTTGCTTATAATTGCTTACATCCACTTCATTTGAACTTTGGTGGATAGTTGTCTCATTGGCAATCATACCTCATCTCCTTATTTTTATATTGTTGAATATTCACATAGATTCAGGGAAGCGACACAGACTCTTACGAGCCTCTAGTTTTAGATCTCAACTCTTACCATATATTAATCTTGGACAATGTAATGATGAAAAAGTATAAAAAGGTCAATTCTAATCAGCACAAAATGCACTAAACTCTATTCTTAAGCTATACATTTATTGATTTGACGCATGACATATCGTAAAAGCATTTTTCTTTTCTTGAAGGCGATTTTTAAACTCTTTGCAGCTTCTTGATTTGTGTCGATGGGCTTTTGTCTGATTGACCGTGGCAAATACTCAACAACTTCATGTCATTAATATTATTATTATTATTATTATTATTATTATTATTATTATTATTATTATTATTATTATTATTGTTGTTTTTGTTGTTGTTGTTGTTGCTTTTCGAAAATATAATAAAGCCATTAATTCTACATGTAATAAATCGTAATTAATATATATTATATTAAAAAAATCCGATCATGAGTACCGAACTATGCATAAATTGAACGCAGGTGATCTTTTTATTCGTTTGGTGAATTATAGAAATTTCAATTATTTAAACTTTGAAAAGTTGGGAAATTACGAAAAAAAACTTTTTTTTTTTTGCAGAAGTACGTGAAATGATTTGGAATCAAGATGAAACTTACAAAGATTTAACATTGTCGGTAGATTTTGTATGGCAAAAGACTGTTCGTAGTCGTTTAAAATGCTCTGTCGAGTGCACAGACGATGAACGATGTGGCGCCTTTTTCTTTTCCGACGCAGACAAGTCTTGTTTGGCGAGTCCATTCTTACTGGAGTCCACTGGACAAGGTATTGCCGTCGTTGGAACAGAGTATTACTTTTTTCGACCAGGTATGAATATGAAAATAGTGAACATGAGGTAAAGGAAGACTTTGATGAACAAATACAGTTTTAAAAGTGTTTTCAAAATAACAATTAAACCAGTATATCTTATTGCACGAACGCTGATAACTCATAAATATTTGGATCTATAAATTAATAATAACATAATTGATCTTTCATTACATGTACTATAAAGTCGGGCCTCTTAAGATTTTTAAACGGCAAATCCGAGTTTGCTTCCTTTTGTCGTTTTTTGTTGTTGTTAAAAAACATTGAGAATTGTAAAACCAAATTTGTGTGGCGAGTAATCAATCGGCTGCAACAAACTCATTACCCTTCCGACCCCTAAGTTTAATTCAAATCCGTTTTGTCAATTTTTTGCTTTTCTTCTTATCATTTTCTGGATATGCATTTGTGTTCTTACGCCTACAACTGTGCACTAATACAAAAATCTGATTCATTCATTACAAGGGTTATTTATACAATTTTTTCCAATTAGTATATTTACAAATACGTGAAGGGAATATGACATATCTTATTGTCAATATATTGATGGAATCAGCGGCTCTTTCTATTTACAGATACAATTATAGTTGTGTGTATAATTTTTGAATGATGGGTTAGACATAAGATATGACAGCACAGTTGGATTGTTTTAAGTTGCTTCACATTTTGATGCCCCGGTACATGTTATGGCCTTCTATATGAGTTTTGCTCGTCGTATGATGGCCTGTAGTTGTTAACATCCTTTTTCTTTGCTTATCACTTGTCTCAATGGCAATCGTTCCACTGCTCCTTATTTGTTAACATCCTTGTTCTTTGCTTATCACTTGTCTCAATGGCAATCGTTCCACTTCTCCTTATTTGTTAACATCCTTGTTCTTTGCTTATCACTTGTCTCAATGGCAATCGTTCCACTTCTCCTTATTTGTTAACATCCTTGTTCTTTGCTTATCACTTGTCTCAATGGCAATCGTTCCACTTCTCCTTATTTGTTAACATCCTTGTTCTTTGCTTATCACTTGTCTCAATGGCAATCGTTCCACTTCTCCTTATTTGTTAACATCCTTGTTGTTTGCTTATCATTTGTCTCAATGGCAATCGTTCACTTCTCCTTATTTGTATAAACATTGTACTACTATTTATTAACGTATTTAGGACAGACATACTACTTATCAAAAATGGTGCATTTTATGAACTTGAATGTCATATTATTCGTCAAACAGTAATAACAAAAGCATGAAAACAAGTTGTTCTCTTTAAAAAAAGAAAAGCAATACGTGAACCTAAGACCGCTGACTGGTCACCAAAAGATTGTTGCTGAATTTGTTTTGCTTTTGAATTGAAATAATTGACTGTGAATAGAAGGAGATAATGATGAAGTTAAACTACCTTTATTAAAAATATGTAATAGTGTGTACATTCTTGCACAAGTCAGTTGAAAGCAATGTTGGATAGGTGTGAATAGAAAAGTGTATATACAGCTACATTTTAAAGCTCGACTATTTCATTTATTACTTGGGATTGTACATCATTTTTTCATAATCCTATTGCAAATCCCAGTTTCTACAAACCGGATGTATAATGCAAATTGCACAAACCAATCGCAATATAAATTTAAGCACTCAGTTTGCTTTATAATCTGGATGCATTTATTTTATCTATCACATCTTTATATTTTGTTTCCTGCATGGATGCCTTCATATTCTCAACTCGTTACTGAAGTTGTCTTTACTCATGGTAGATGTTGTACAGATAAATTTAAAGTCCATTTTCCATGTGAAGTGAAACCCTGTGGCATGCAACTTATAAGAAGGTTTCGTATATTTTTCTTGAGAGTAACACACCAGCTTCATTTGGACCTCTTATATAGAGACTTATTTTGGTCTCATAAAACATCTCAAATTTTAAGGATTTCCTGATTTTACTTAAATCAATCCAAATATTTTACAGGGAAACTTGGTTTTGAAGAATATCTTAATTTCAGAAGTTTTATGAATACCTGAACATACTCTCAAAAGAACCAATTTATATAAAAAGACATGTAGATATAAAAAAAAATACCAGGATTAACATGTTGTACGCCAGACACGAGTTAAGTCTACAAAGAATCATCAGTGACGCTCGAATAAAAATAGTTAAAAAGGCCAAATAAAGTACTAAGTTAAGCAATCTATTCCTTGAGTAGAAAATCCTTGGCATTTCGAAAATGTTAAAGTTTATAAAAGGACAGTGACTCAAAAAAAGAAAACAAAAGAGAAACAGCTAGAGGTCAGAATACCGTAAGCAATAATGACCATGCTTGAAAGTCACATGGCAAGCTCTTATTGCGCGGATATATTGCCGTGTCCTGAATTTAGATAAGAAAAGCGAAAATTCGCATTCGCGATTGAAATTAATATTTATGCATGAACGTGGTATTTTTTAGCAAGAAATAGTAAATAGAAAGCATACGCACTGATACTCTGGATAAGAATACGTATTTGCGTCATCACATATATTAATCTAATAGTTGAATTCGGATGTCAAACTACCTACCTCAAGTGTTTTGACTCCGAATTCATTGACATTTTATCCGGAATTTTTGTGAACGCAAACCGATAGTGTGCGTGTGAACAGGGTGATGTATAATGTGAATGAATCAAGACGTGTAGGATAGCTGACCAACACAATGAATAAAATTTTCAAAACCGTACCATAGTACAAATATTTAGATGCTATAAGGTTGAACTAATAAAAGAAAAAAAAAGAAAAAAAATAATTAACATTATGATAGTAATTAAATTTTGTTATGATTATTGTAAAATATTAATTACGTTTTTTGTGAGATGCAAGGATTTAAAATCCTTGTGAATTGAAACCACGCAAGTATTTTTTCATTCACGACCGTTTAAAATTTAGATATTTAGCTAACTTTGGGTACGCATCCCTGCTCATTGGTGCTCATACGTTACATATAATTTTCATAAATGTAATGACTGATCAAACCTGTGAGACATAATGCACGTTTACATTACAATCTTAATTATATTCCATAATTATTAGGAATAAATTCAGTCTCAGTTTGACCTAACAATGAATATTCTCTTAGTCTGGTAGTATCTATTAATGAAATTAGATATTTTTTTTACAGAAAAATCCTTTTGTTTGATTATCTTTCTGCTTTCCGACCACTGTGTTTCCGACCTTAGATAAATATTTTTAACAGAAATATCGTTTTCTTAATTTTCTTCATTCTTTCCGACATTTTCTCATGCTATGATTGAACTACTAAATATCAATTGATAAATGTTCAGAAATAATCAGTTTGTTCTGGGTCATTGTATATCAATAAACTATACCAGGTTTATTAAATACAACACACACAACGCGTAGAGGGACCGTCTCAAAGCATGAATTATATAATTGCGTTATCATTATACTTGATATTTCATAAACATTCACATTATTAAAAACATATATGTTTTGTCAAAAGGCAAATAGGTTCTAACATATAAATGATTTTTAGAATGCAACCTAGTCTTTATTGTTTTACTTTCAAATCTTCAAATGAACCGTTTGTCGGATTGTTGAAATATACAATGTCACGTTGTAGCCTATCCATAGAGGGTCCGTATCAAAGACATAAATAACTACCTATATAAATGATGAAAAATTTTCGAGACGTTCCGAGAATCGTGATTCCGAGGATATCGAGTGGCCCATAGACACTTCCGAAACTCGCCAATATATAAGCGTGAACCCCCTGAATAGTTCACTTTGAACAAATTAAGTTCGGATTTTTAATAAATATTGGACAAAACAATAGATGCTGTGATCTTGACCTTTGACAAACTGATTTTAAAGTTTTTTTATTTTCTTCCAGCATTAGAGTATTTATGTAAAGATGCAAATTTGGCAGGAAATTGACATTATTGTTTCAACAGCGTTTCCTTTTTATGACCTCTGACGTTTAAAGCATTGTATTTATAACTTTGACTAAATGACCATAGGTTGACAAGTGTCTTTCCCTAACCATAGACTAATCACAGAAGAGAAAATATCTAATAATATAAAAGTGTGGTAAAAATGAATGAAACGTGTAGTTCAAAAGATATAGTCAAACTTTCTGTCAATAGACATTAAAAATATGTGGCACCAGTATATATTTAATCAGGACACAAAATGCATACACGCACTGAAACTCAGGGCAAAGGAATATTGGTGTTATTGCTGTTTTTCATATCTAAGTCAAAGTGAGACCTACAACACAGAAAAATTTCAAACCTCATTGCAAGTTCAAGTTTATTTACAACTACAGTTACCTAGAATCACCCGCTGTTTAGTCTTAAAAGACACGTTCCATAAAATCCAGAAAATCACCTCTAGCGCTGCAATTTCTATAATAGTAGGTTATTTTGAGTTCCAATAGAAATGCAAATTAAAAAAAAATAAGTCTTTATTCTACTAAGAAACGAGACTTAAATTCCTAAGTTAATGTTCCCTTATGTATTGGAACCAAACAGCACCCATAATAAGGTAAATGAAACAGTTTAAAGAAAGAAAATTATAGTTGATTATTTTCTGAAATGATAATATAAGTTGAAGTATTTTTGAACTCGTCTGATTACCCACCAAAAAGGTTAACCAAGAACTTCTCAATTCTCATTATATTATTCTATTTAGTTTGGTCCATCATATGTTAGTTGAAATTTAAGTTTAAAACAAATCCTTAAATACCAGTGTCTTCAGTGCATGTTATTTAATGGAGAATAATTACAGATAAAGCTTAATTCGCTAGATTCTGAAAAGATGATTTCAGATAAAAGTATTGTGTTGTTGCATCTATGTAAATTTAACTGCAGTTTTTGTTTATTTGATTCGATCAATGTATTGAATTGATGCTGCTGTGATTAAGATAATAGTGATGGGTTGTCGGGTGATTAAAGTATAACAAAAGATTCAGATTTTTTAAAATATCTCACCAAGTGTTTTACAGAAATTCAATAAAATAAATGCTAAGCTGTCGA